TATTCTGGCCTAACGAGGGTCATTCTGACCCACAGAGGTCCCATTTTGACCTGCAGTGGGCCAATTCCAACCTGTAGAGGTCTCATTATTGGCTGCGGAGAGCCTATTTTGTCCTGCAGATTATCCATTCTGGCGCTACGAGTCCCATTCTGACCTGTGGTGGGCCCATTATTGACTTAAAGAGCCCATTGCAGCTCGTTGAGAACCCACTAGCTAATATTGGAGGGCCCACTTTGGCATTTTGAAGTCTCCAAACTGAATATAGTTCTCGCGCCCCTGACTAGTAAACGCCATAAGGGGAAACTAAAGCCACAATATAAAGCTTCGTGAAATTCGCGGGATAACAGCTTCATGTTCGCAGTTCTTTTTGTCTGAACGGAATGTTTCAAGCTTTCCTAGCATTTATTACACAAATGTTTTAACAGAGTAGTGTGTTGCAAACAATACAGAACACACACGTTGGAGAAACAAGTCAATTAACCCTATTTTTATCATAGTGGTAAGCAGGGCGTCGAATGCCATTTTTTCAGCATGAGCAACTACTTCAAATTAAAATTCTGAGCCGGCCAAAACCATTTCGAGAAAACTGGTGTCTCATTCAGTCGTACGCGTCTGATTTAGTAATGAGTGAGAAGTACAGAAAAGGTGGCACACCCCTTTGAAGATCGGTACACCAGGGCGACATTTCAAAATTGGAAACTCAGGAGCGTATCTAGAACATAGAAAAGTATACGAATGCAAATGAAACCCTCAAAACGTGTCCACCTTGAATTTATGCGGTGTCAGATGAGGTGGTGTGCTGCTACCTCACCGGAAAAAAATAACTACAACCCAACTATTGTCATAGGCGGCGCCCAGGGAGGGAATAGCGAAGTCTCAGTGAATGGTTCGTATTTCCTGGGGGCCAAAGTGCTGATATCCGCTTTGAATGAACTATCGTGTTTATGTAGCACGTATAGACATGCTTCATAGGCGCACCAAGTTTTCTGAGCGGAAGGAGGGACGCGGGACCTGAACATGGGCCATTACCGCGGCCGTCGTTCGCTGACGGTCCGCTGCTCTCAGCCACGTTTGTCATCAATCACAATTCTCCTTCCGCTCCTCCTTTGTCGCTCCTGGACTCACCTCTGACACGTAATTACCCTTTTTGATGATTTCACTGTACAGAAGTGAACGGTAGAATGCCACAACGGTTGTCATGTTTCAGTTGACATGATCCTTACCGACCACGGAAACGTGCCTGCACACAAATGTTATTTGTATTCTCCGTATCCTAACGTGGATGCATTTTCCTATGTTATCCATTCATGGCACCGTGGCGCTGGCATCAGTTTGACACCATGCTGCTCATTTGCCCCTTTTGCTTCACATGAACATGCCCATGTCCCGGCTACATCAGCTTTTTGTGTAAATTTGTCAGGAAATGCAAAGATCTGCACCCAGATACAACCAAAATCCCTCATATACTTACACCAGCAGCCTGCATTGCTCTTTACACTGTCTGGAAACTCCTTCAGTCTCGAGCAGGCCTTAGTCTTAGCAGGCCTTAGCCTAGCGAGCAGGCCTTCTCGAGCCTTAGGACCGCTGTTGCCACCTTGCTCTTACTTTACGGCAATAGTGACTCTCATGGTGGAACTGCTCCTTCACTGGAGGCAGCAACAGCTCCTGTAAGCGCGAGGCAGCGCGTAGAATCCAGCAGCGATCACCGTCTTGATTTAACAGCCAAATCTCATTGGACGTTCTCCCCAAAGCCGGACCCTGGCACCGCCCCTGTCCATGCCACATCACACGCGCCGAAGATTGGCATAATGCATATACAGAATGTTTGGAAAGCCAGACAATTTTACCGACCGATTTTAGTAATCCAGGTTAACCACAGCTTGAACGAAATGGCCAAAGGATCGCGCCGCACCCGTGACCCCAGGCATCACCCGAGAGCTTGGCAATTGAACGAGGGCCGTTTGTCGCGCCGTCAACATGGCTCCTCGCGGCGCCGACCCGTGCCAGTCTGGAATACAGAGCATCCGCCTGCAGTCCCTGCTTTCGAAGTCATCTCCGCGAGCTGACACGGCGCCTCCGTACAGATAGCCTTTTGTGGGTGGCGTCGTCATGTACCGCCCACACTTGCAGGTTTGCCTCTGGTTGGTGCTCGTCTGGTGGCGTGTCCCGCGAGGGCGGGGCTTGACCTTTTGTCGCCGGTGTCAGGTTCATGGCAGGAGTGACAGCCTTCATGATGCGGACGCTGGCTTACCGTGCACACGGGCCGGCCTTCCAGGACAGCGATAAAACACGGGGAATAACGTCCGGGAGGGTGGCTGCGGGGAGAACGGGGTCAACACCAGGGCTCATCTGAGGCATGATTTCCGTCCACCAGTTGTGTCCTTTGTCTGACCGCATAAGATCCACCGTGACATGGCTCACGGCGGCGTGACCTCGCCATGCCGGGTGGGCGGCCAACCAGCGTCGACAGACGTCGAGCCACGCCGCCGTCACCAGCACGTGCCACCCTGTTTCAGGACATCGAGACGCGCGTATTCAGCCCCACCACGAGCTTCATCGGCAGCGCGCGGGACAGACCGCATGCGCGCAAACGCCAGACCAGCACGTCCAAAGACGTGCCCCTGAAGAAGCTGCGGGCCGCGGCCGACGGCGGCAGGAAGTTCTCCACGCGGAAGTAGCGGCGGAGAGCGCTGGGCGCCGGACGGACCCGCGCTGCGGCCCGCTCTGTGCCACGAGCTGGCTTTGCGAGGGTCGACTTGCCTTCGCGGGCGCTGTGCCGGCTGGAGGCGGGGAGTGGCGCCCGGAAGACTGTCCGCGTCTCGTCTTCCGAAGTCTGGTGTTTACCGAGGGCTGAGCTGACGTGCTGTGCTGGGCGCGCCAGTTGTCTTCAGCGGCGCGCGTACGTGTGGGTGGTCGGGGCGGTGCCGCGCGGACCGTCTTCAGCGGCGTACGTGCGCATCTGCGCAGGCTGTCTTCAGCGGCGTGCGTGCGTGCGGGTAGTCGGGGCGGTGCCGCGCGGACCGTCTCCAGCGGCGTACGTGCGTGCCCGCGCGGGCCGCCTTCAGCGGCTGGTACGTGCGTGTGGCTGGTCGCAGCGGTGCCGCGCGGGCCGCCGCCGCGCGGTGCTTGGTCCCTGCGTGCCCTCCGACGGCTTGCCCGGAGTCGGCACAAGGCAGCGACCACGCCAGCCGGGCATGACCGGAGTTCCGGAGCCACGCCTGCCGGTATCTAACATTGCTTCAGCTCTGTAACTCCGTTATCGAGCGGCAAGGGTCACCGAACGTGTACAGTGTGGAAATGAATACACAGACGGGTTTTTGGCTACCTGACCTTCAGAAATATCATTTAATGGTCTCGACCTGTGTATCGTCGAACATCGTATCATAACATGTCTGCATAGTCTCATCCAGGCATTGCTGTTCTCGCATTCTGGAAGGTGTAGTTTGATCACCACGTTTCAGCGAGAACAATGAGCAACCTCGCCGCACGGGATCAGCCACGAACAGAAAGTGCGTAGAGTCATTTTATTGCACCTTGACGAGTCCGATTAAGTATCAACGTAGGTCAGCAAACGACGCGCAGCACTGTGGACAAGCTGTGCTCCGGCAGTAATTCCGGGCACCATAACAACCTTGTGAACTGGCACGAGATGCATATAACCCGCTGATTCCGCTACGCCACAGCCGACAGCCCATGGGATTCGGAGTGCACCTACGCCCCCATCCTCTCCGCTGACGCGTACGCGTGTGTGGTGTACCACGGCACACAGTCGCCAGCAGGGCGGCCGGCCACCCGGCCGGGATGGGGACTACCCGTGGCGCCGTTTGGCTGTGTCAACCGACCGGCCCCCTCCTGCACCGGAAAAGGAGGGGACAGGCCCATAGGAAAGCATCGACCGACAGTTATGCAAGGACACATTGTGGGGGAGACGACCATACGCGCTACCACGTCACACCAGCCAGTGAAATACACAAAAATGCAAGTGCGAGTAGGTAGATTTGTGAGTGATTAACAGCTTCCCTTTGTGAAGATGTAACAATGAAACCACTTCGAAGGTGATTGCACGGCCACGAGACGCAAGCTGCTGTTCATCAAAGTCGGCCAACACAAACAAATCTTCAAAGGTGCAGTGGGTTGCACAGGTAACAGTCTCACAGTGCAGCATACATGTGTGCAACAGTCGGCAGGTAGGAAGGCACAGCCCGCAGCGGTCTGACCTCGAGCTTGGTAGACCAGCTACTCGTATCAGAGGGCTTCGCGTCCACTTGATGGACGTCAACGTCGACGCGTCAAGAACTTACATCAAGTCCAATAACTGTGAGACACGGGCGTCAAATAAATCCCGTGCGGCTGAGCTAAAGCTGCGCTTCTACTCCGTGCTTCTACGGTGTCACTGCGAAAAGGTTCCGTTTCATATTCACTACACCAAGGCAGACAATCGTACATTGCACCATCCCGTACTTTTCCAGTCATTCCAAAGGACGTCCATAACAGCGAAGCATGCCCAGCACTACGCGCGGCGGCAGTCTTGACCCATCGACTGATCTATTTCGGGTCGCTCCTCCCTACATCTAAAGCTTCTAATTGGCCCACCGTAGCGCGACCGTTCATGGGCTGAACCTACCAGATAAGTTGACTACGGCATATGCCTGAACGACCGTAGCGGCTGTAATGGGAGCGGTAGTTTACGCAAGGATGCGGCAAGCAATGCTGAAGGATTATGCACTTCATAGGTCTCTACACACCTCAGTCCCCGTACATCCAGTATCCCATATATATGCATACTTTGTCTCCTATGGCTTGATTACATCTCACCGCTTCGACTGAACCACATCGTTCTTGACTTGACATGGCTTGACTGCATCACGCCGCCCCTATGGCTTGACTGAATCATACCGCTCCTAGGGTTCGACTGGGTCATACCGTTCCTATGGCTTGACTGGATCATACCGCTCCTATGGCTTGAGTGAATCATACCGCTCCAACGGCTTGACTGGATCACATTGGTCCTACGCCTTGAATGAATCACACCGCTCCGACTCCGAGCTCAGCTTGACCATACCATGCCGCTCATGCCGCTCCAAGTCCCTGACATGTCGGGGCACGACAGTATGGGCGAGACAGTACCGCCAACCAGTCTGCACCCAGTTCACAAAACAAGCATAAGCCGGGGTCAACAGCACGGCAACAAGCGCAACACAGTGGGCTTGCATGGCGACCGCGCAGAACACTTAACAACCGGGGGTAGAGGACGGCGACGAATCACGACCCACCAACAGAAAACACGTGGTACAAGTATAGCGTACACCCTCTAATGGGTGTGTCGGCTCCCACATGCGGTAAAGCTGATACTAAGCACGACCCTGGCGTCCACCGTCTGGCGCAGACGGCCGGGCGGTGCCGGAGGCCTGACCTCAGGGCGTGGCCACTCTCCGCTGCCGGCTCCGCAGTCGGCCCGCGGCACGGCGCCGGCCGCCGCGGCCGCCGTGACCTCGGGTCAGCGGGCACCGGACGTGCTCCGCTGCGGCCGGCCAGTCGGTACTGACCAGCCGGCCGGTGACGGCGTGACCGCCGTCACCCCCGGTCAGAGGTCATCAGACGTCCTCAGCCGAGGTCAGCGGGTCGGCCGCCACCTCGCCCTTCAATGCCGCGATCGTGCCCATGGCCGCGTGAACACGGAAGTGCAGGCGATTGATCATGCTGTAGCCCTTGTATCCCGACCTGTCACAAAACAGGCGAAACAAAAACTGGTCAGCCTCCTGATGACGTAATGGTAGCCAGAACACGACAGGAGCAGCAGCTGGGCGCGTTTAGCCGGTACCAGAAGTCACGTCAGGTTACTCAAGCAAAGGTCCGAATTCGCTCGCCTCCTACGGGACGCACGCACCGGCAAAGGAATGAGGAAACATGAGCAGAAGAAACGCTCCAAAACCTAAGCTATTTCCAAATGGCACGTTACGTCCGGTAGGACAGAAAAAAACGCGGCATGCCACGAAACACCACCTGGCGCCGCAGAGGAACACACACGAGATAGCTCCGCTAAAGCCCTGCACTAGGGGGCGAGGAGGCAACAGCTGTCACCGGGGGAGCGGCAGCAGCTGTTGCCGGGGGAGCGGCAGCAGCTGTCGACGGGGGAGCGGCAGCAGCTGTCGACGGGGGAGCGGCAGCAGCTGTTGCCGGGGGAGCGGCAGCAGCTGTCGACGGGGGAGCGGCAGCAGCTGTCGACGGGGGAGCGGCAGCAGCTGTTGCCGGGGGAGCGGCAGCAGCTGTTGCCGGGGGAGCGGCAGCAGCTGTCGACGGGGGAGCGGCGGCAGCTGTCGACGGGGGAGCGGCAGCAGCTGTCGCCGGGGAAGCGGCAGCAGCTGTTGCCGGGGAGCGGCAGCAGCTGTTGCCGGGGGAGCGGCAGCAGCTGTCGACGGGGGAGCGGCAGCAGCTGTTGCCGGGGGATTGGCAGCCCCTGTCGCCGGTTGAGCGGCAGCAGCTGCCGCCGAGGGAGCGGCAGCCCCTGTCATCAGGGAGCGGCAGCCGCCGTGCCCGGTCCCATGGGCTTACTTGGCGTGCTCCAGGAGGCGGGCGGCGTCATCTGGCCGGCCGGCGTCCAGCGCCAGCAGGCCCAGCTCCAGCCAGGCGAACGGCACCAGGTACTGGTCGTCGCGCAACTCCGCCTGCAGCCGCGTCACGGCCAGCAGGCTCTCCTCGGCCTGCAGCGGGCTGCTCAGATGCAGCAGACTCACGCCGCGCAACAGCAGCAGCAGCGCCCGGTTGTCGGCCACGTACGGCTCGTTCGCTGCGGCATCAAGGTCAGGATCAGTCATCACACAGCAGTGGCGGCGGCAGCAGCAGCAGCACTGGCATCGCACGGTTGTTGGCTATGCACTGATGCAGCCAGCTTGATCGTTAACGCACGATCTATACAACACCCACAATGGCGCCTCCTCCTTTGCGACTAGCCACAGCTACAAATCAGGCCGCCCGTCAGGTAATGCAAGCACTTGACTATAACGGCGGCCACGTCGTCGTGGTTGGGGTCTGCTGGTACGCGGACCGGTCCTTTGTTCAAGCCGTGCACGGGTTGAAGGAGTTATGAAGTACGATATGTACCAGCCATACACGGAGCGCAGTCCAAAATACACTCAGGCACAGTCTGGTCCACCACTTCCCGCACGCAACAGTGGACGATCCGGGGTATTTTTGATACGTAGCCGTACGTGCAGGTTAAAGATATAGAGTTGAGACCCGTCATAACATAATCCAAGGAAACCGATCCTTAGAGAACACACTCAAAATGACGCCGGCGAAATAGCATCGACATGTTGTTATCATATCACGGCCGGCTGCAAACCGAGCATGAATGCAGCGCGCCAACCAAAACACTGGCCTGCGAAATACGAGCTCTACATGGCTCTGCTGCAGCACGCGCTCGCCCCTCCCTGAAACCTGACCGGCCCGACCCCGCTGACCTGCGCGGTCCAGGTTGGCCAGCTCAGTCTCCACTCGCGCCAGCACGTCCTCCACCAGGCAGCGCCGCTTGCGCAGGATCTTGAAGCCGTTCCAGAGGTAGAGCAGCTCGTAGCCGGGCAGCAGCAGGCGGCCGCCCTGCGCCAGGTACCGGCGAGACTTGCCGATGACGAACTTCTCGGCCGGCAGCGACTTCCCGGCGATGCGCTGCTTGAAGTCGGGCAGCGTGGTCATCAGCATCTCGACCTCGCGGCGGCGCGGCTCCGGCGCCGGCTGCGGCAGCATCAGCAGCGAGGCCGCCCGCTGGTAGCTGTAGATGGTCTTGGACCAGCGCGACTCGCGCAGCAGGAGGGCGGCGAACTCGGCCGCCTCCTCCCAGCGGCTCAGGAACCTGCGGCAGCGCGACGGACACGGTCGGCCGCCGCAGGGACGCCGGCGCGGCTGACACGCCTCCAAGCGCGCGGCACGAGCAGCACGTGGCCCCGAGGCGGCAACACGGCCCGCTAAAGCAGCCCTGAGTGTGGCGCACGAGCGTATGCGAGTCAAGTAACGTAGGAGGCTGCAGCAGCCGGGTACGCGAATCCTGTGCAGACTGCTGACTGTGCGGGCTGCACTGGATGCGGCCGAGCTCACTACCAGTGGCATGGCCGCCCGGCAAAGGTCGGTGGCCAGGACAACAGCGTCATTCACATATTGTCCGTCATTACCCTCTTTACGTGTGAAAGATGGCTAGAAGCCCACCAACAGATGAAGTGATGCTGAGCTGGCCGTAGAGGTCAAGTGGCCTTCCCCAGAAGAAATCGCTTACACGATCATCAATTTCAATAGGAAGCGCACTTGTATCACAACAAGCGATCGTGACCAAAGAGAGGCGTGCGTCGGAATCCTAGCTGTTGTACATCGCGAGAGCGTGCACCGACCGGTGGCCCGCTCCCCCATACTGACACGTGGTTCCAGTAGAGCTCCCAGAAGCACATGTGGTGGAACTGGGTCCAACAGTCCTGGCTGCGCCAGCTGTCCGTGTAAAGCTGCGCGCTGCGCTCAAACCGGCCGCGCACCAGCTCCAGACGGCCCGCGAAAAACAGGAAAAACGCTCCCTTCGGGTACGTCTGAAACGGCACACCAATGCTCATGTTATTACAGGCGCACATCAGCGCTTGCAAGCTCGACAACATTGAGGACAGGACATGCATCAACGTCATCTGCAACACGCAGCGTTCAATTATCATTTACTTCAACAGAGCGAGCTAATGATGCACACGACTTTAGTGCAAAACAAGTTGCGTTAACGCGTGCCAATATAATATCTATCACATAACATCACGCAAACACAACGCTCTTGAAAATGACATTGAAAACACTAGGGCAAAGACACCTCCCGAACAAGAGGCAATCAGCATGGCGGCAGACCACCACAAATCAGCCGATAACAATGCAGAGCAAGACCACACGGGACATCCTCACATCCCAGCGTCTCTACGTCGGGCGTCAAACCTACCAATAAATCCGAGCAGCGCTTCATGTGCCCCGCAAAACGCTCCCAAACACGGCCTGAAACGCCTGAAATACGCCCACACCAACCGACACCGAGAGCGGCCGATCCAGCAGCCTGGAGGAGGCCGTTCACCACCCGCCTCCGCGCGACGGCCCTCGGCGGGGGAGCTGAGCCTCACCACCAGCTCCTCGGAGAGGATGCGCTCCGAGCCGGCCAGGTCGCCCTCCGAGTTGCTGAGGAAGTACGTGGCCACCAGGTGGTAGCCGAGCAGCACCAGACTGCAGAGCGAGCGGTGGATGCTGTCCGCCAGCCCGAAGCCGGCCTCCAGCTCGCGCAGGCCCACGTCCTGCCACCGAGAGAGCGGGCCGGGTCAGCAGCTGCCGAGGGCGGGCTCCCTCACCGACGGGGAGGGGAGAGGTCACCGAGAGAGCGGACGGGGTCAGCAGCGGCCGGGGACAGGCTCCCTCACCGACGGGGGGGGGGAGAGGTCACCGAGGGAGCGGGCGGGTCAGCAGCGGCCGGGGACGGGCTCCCTCACCGACGGGGAAGGGAGAGGTCACCGAGAGAGCGGACGGGGTCAACAGCGGCCGGGGACGGGCTCTCTCACCGACGGGGAGGGGAGAGGTCACCGAGAGAGCGGGCGGGGTCAACAGCGGCCGGGGACGGGCTCCCTCACCGACGGGGAGGGGAGAGGCCACCGAGAGAGCGGGCGGGTCAGCAGCGGCCGGGGACGGACTCCCTCACCGACGGGGAGGGGAGAGGTCACCGAGAGAGCGGACGGGGTCAACAGCGGCCGGGGACGGGCTCCCTCACCGACGGAGAGGGGAGAGGTCACCGAGAGAGCGGGCGGGTCAGCAGCGGCCGGGGACGGGCTCCCTCACCGACGGGGAGGGGAGAGGTCATCGAGAGAGCGGGCCGGGTCAGCAGCGGACGAGGACGGGCTCCCTCACCGACGGGGAGGGGAGAGGTCACCGAGAGAGCGGGCGGGTCAGCAGCGGCCGGGGACGGGCTCCCTCACCGACGGGGAGGGGAGAGGTCATCGAGAGAGCGGGCCGGGTCAGCAGCGGCCGGGGACGGGCTCCCTCACCGACGGGGAGGGGAGAGATCATCGAGAGAGCGGGCGGGACCAAAACAGTTCGGAAGCGCCGGCAGCTCCCCACCCAACGATGAAGGGGTCACAGGGAGTGCAGGCGGGGTCAGCAACGGCCAGCGAAGAGTCATTCCAGCGCCGGCGGCGGCATGGCGAGCAGTGCGCAAAGTCAGACACCGAGGGCTACCGAGTCACAAACCTGGGCTCAAGACCTCATTAAAGGCACTCTGAACACACCCCTCGCGTGACATATGTGTAGCAGACTGGTCTGCATGGCCCGGACCGGACGCCCCCGCAGACCTCACCACTTCAGTGATGGTAAGGACGCATGACACGTGACCGTCAACACAAGCACACGTCATTCCCTAAGAATGCAGCTGACATCCCCAGAACCGCCATAAACACCATGAACTGAAAATGTCATGCGGCAACGAACCACGATTGGATTGGGTCCATGAAGTCCGTTGTTACCCACGATGCCAACCGGTTATATGATGTTATATATATATATATATATATATATATATATATATATATATATATATATATATATATAGGCCTCTGGTGTGGCAATCCAAACGTTGTTTTCCACACATTTTGATTGCCAATTATCTCCACGGTTCCGCGCGGTCCATGCTCTATAGCGCTCATCAGTTTATAACGCGCACACTACAGTCACGCGCTGCTCGCCTCTATCCAAGGCATGCATGGGCCTATCTCGCTGCAGGATCGGCGACAGGGACACTGATAACAGGTCCCGACCATGCCCGACCTGGCGCCAGCCGACACTGTTACCCAAAACAAACACCGTGCAGATGCCTACGACGTTTTGACCACAGCCCTCAGGCGAACGTGCGCTGGGAAGCGAACGCATCCTGCATGCGGAAACATTTGGCTTCCACATGAGCTTGGCATTGGTAGGACAGGAAATACATCCGACAGGGGCACACCCTGTTGGGCCTGATGACAGGCGCAGCAGGATCCGATGCATGGCCGCATCTCACGAAATACCATGCGCCCAAGGAGTCGTATACGCAAGTCCTGCTGCGATGCATGACAAAAGATACGGCATACTCACCTCTTTCGCCTGATGAAGCGTAACACCAGAGCGCGAAGACTGTTAACATCTGTCGCTACAACAATTTTACCCTGGGACTCTTACGGGACGCTCCACATAGTATTCACCTCATCATATGACTGCATTTTTTTCGGACCCTTCAACAAATGACGGAAAGCCTAAAAAACGCAACACAGGCAGCCATGAGCTTCAGCGCTAAAGTTGAGCAGCGGCCGAGAAAGCAGAGAATAATATCACCTTCCCACGCGTTGAACCCTTTCTCTAACCATACCCCACGTTTCGACAAAGCAGCGCAGTGTGCATACGTATTTCACTCGGCTACCATGCAATGTTACAATATTTTAAAGGTCGGTTTGGATCGCGAATTCACACGTTGGCATTGAACTTAAGTCAAACAGAATCTTTTGGAACTTAAAACCAGCCACATCCATCATACCATTCACTTTGCTATGAGTTTAACCCCACTCGAAGGCACAATCGCCAATATATGACAGTATAGCACACGTGGCAACGTCACGCATGTCACCCACCTTGTTCCCAGTAAACCCGACGAATTCCAGCAACCTCAAGATTTTCGCCGGAAGTTGTGAGATCATCTGCCGACAGAAATACGCGAATCATAACGACTCCAGGAAGCAACGACATATTCGATGAGAACACGCGCCCATTCCCCTGCGTTATCCCACTACAGTCTGATATCATTCGAGGCACGCGGCTGTAAAGAGATAGCACACCTCCAGATCGGTTCGGATCGGACTCGGTACTGCTACATCCTGTTACATATCTGGTTCCATACAATCACATCACCACACTCGAGAACGGCCGTCTGTCCGCGGTCGGACGACTTACCAAATTGAACGTGCCCACACCGAGCCGGACGCCGCCTTCAAAGTGTTGCTTGGTCTTGGAGCCGGTCCAGTCCCTGTGCTTCAGCATCTGCCAGCAGTCCCTGCCGGCCCCAAACACGGCGGTCATCTGCAGTCGGCAGGCAGAAATCCGCCGGTGACGAGACCGGAGCCGCGCCAGGCAGACTCGGAACGCGACTACCACCCGCGTGAAAATGCAATCCCGCACGTGACATGGTGCGGTCACGTGGTGACAACGCAACTTGGCACCATGTTGGGAGTCACGCCCTTGGGAAAGCTGTACATAACGAACAGTTCTGATTTGAACGGAAACGATACAATTTGTGTACTGGCAGTGGAACGCGTGTTAAAACAGAATTTTCTTCATGCACTGAATCAGAACAGCATAGTGCGATTTTCAGTTCCGGCTCTGGTCTGTGATAAGCTCCACTGTGACCATCTGGGTGCATATTACAACAGATAATGATCATGCACATACCCGCGCTCAGAAACTCCTAACGGCCCCTTGCGAACGGACCCACAAGTGTGTCGGACATGACGGACGTTAATATCCGACGGCTTGCGATGCCGTGACCGTTAAGCCCCTGCGGTCGTTCGGGGAATCTATTGATTTCTGCCTCGAATGTGTGCACTGCTTCTTAGTCACAAAGTGGGCCAGCGTCCTCAGCTGTGCGTCAGCATAACCGCGGCATAGCCCGGGCGAACGTGTTCGGTGTGAATAACACCAACGCTACCAAAACGTAAATCACAGGTGGCGGCACAAAAACCCAACAATTTATCTCAATCTTCGCGCCTTCTTGGTGGGGAGCGGAGGGACTTTCGTGCGCGCCGGTCGCTGAGGGCAGCTTGCACACATTACCATGGTGTTATGCAGCTAAATCTGGCGAATATGCGTGCCTGTTAACTCCCCGCACACGTGCCGGGGATCGTACCTCTCCCTCGCGGCCCAACCACCCAAGCTGTGCCAGATAGAGCCCGCTCCGTCGACGCCCAGATCAGAGGGGTGGGTGGGGGACGCGTCGGGAGAGGGAGGCGCTCACCGGTAGCAGGTGTAACACGTCTTGACCTTGAGACCGCCTCTGACCAGGCTGATGAGCGTCTCATCCTCGACAAAGTTGAGCACGGCCCGCAGGAGCAGACATTCAGCGTAACAGAGCTCGGCGTGAGCCTCCTCTGCAACAGCGACACGCCCGTCAACCCCGGCTGGAGACGCGCCAACAAAGCCGCCACGCGTCTGCGCCGGGCTATGAGTTCGGCCGCTGCCCCTCTCCCCCCCCCCCCCCCCTGTCCTCTCAGTCGGCACGCGCGCTGCGGCGCAACACATGAGTGCGCGGGCTGCATGGTATTTCACCGAAGCGTTACCGAGGGCTCCTTCGCACAAATGCTAGATACACGACCGACGTGGCGAATAAGCATGTACCCTTGAGAACGACTGTCATTTATTCCATACGCCACTCCGAATGACACCAATCCATGTCCCTCTCCGCGGAAAGCGGGAAGAGAGTGAAGCGCCGCAACTAGAGAAGGCCCCGGGGCCGACAGACGTACCACACAACAAACCTAGCCGCCCGGACACAACAGACAGCGACACAAACAGCGGGCTCGGCGGCTCCATCGGGTGAATGTTCCACGGATGCCATGGTCTCAATGGCTCGGACTAACTGCACACGGCACGTAACCTCTGCTGACCAGTACCGACACGAGCTCTCAGCGGCCGGCAGCGACGGTGGCTCACTACTGCTGACCAGTACCGACACGAGCCCTCAGCGGCCGGTAGCGACGGTGGCTTACCTTCCGTGTACAGACGGTAGTCGGGCTTCTTCACCATTTTGGTCACGGTCTCGCCGAGCGTGCTCTTGCGCCGCGCGCGGTTGCACACCTCCACACTGGCGCGCAGCACCTCCACGGCCGCCTCGATGTCCCGCTGTCGGCGCCCCGTCAGGTGAGCACGAACCACATCACGGAAGCCACCCAGCATGAACAACATCACGGGAGTCGCCCAGCACGAACCACATCACGGAAGCCACCCAGCACGAACCACATCACGGGAGTCGCCCAGCACAGACCCCATCACGGGAGCTGCCCAGTACGAACCACATCACGGGAGCCACCCAGCACGGACCACATCACGGGAGCCGCCCAGCACGAACCACATCACGGAAGCCACCCAGCACGGACCACATCACGGGAGCCGCCCAGCAAGAACCACATCACGGAAGCCACCCAGCACGAACCACATCACGGGAGTCGCCCAGCACGAACCACATCACGGAAGCCACCCAGCATGAACAACATCACGGGTCGCCCAGGACGAACCAAACCACGGGAGCCACCCATCACGGACCACATCACGGGAGCCGCCCAGCACGGACCACATCACGGGAGCCACCCAGCACGAACCACATCACGGGAGCCGCCCAGCACGAACCACATCACGGGAGCTGCCCAGTACGAACCACATCACGGGAGCTGCCCAGCACGGACCACATCACGGGAGCTGCCCAGTACGACCACATCACGGGAGCTGCCCAGCACGAACCACATCACGGGAGCTGCCCAGTAAGAACCACATCACGGGAGCCGCCCATCACGAACCAAATCACGGGAGCCGCCCATCACGAACCAAATCACGGGAGCCCCCCCATCACGAACTAAATCACGGGAGCCGCCCAGCACGAGCCAAACGACATCACAGAAGCCGCTCAGCTGGCCCTCATCACAGAATCGCTCAACACGGATCCCCAGGGTATGTTACTCGCTCGCGCGTGGTTTGAGGAGAATTACGGGATTGCAATGTGTGCAATAACGACGGCGTTAAGTTAACAAGTTCACGATTGCGTTCAATGCAGCCGTTACACGTGCTTGCACTGAGGATCTTCGTTGTTAACAGTGCTATCACGCCTTCCCGACATATTTTGCCCTGAAAAATAACATAGCAGTGGTTGTCTCGACTCTCCAGTACTGTAGGACACGGCACCTAACAACATCGGCTATGTTTACCAACGGCGACTGATCCATAAAGAAATCCGTGACCTTCTGCTGACTTGCGCGCTGTCGCCCCGCATCACTCACCGGGTCAAAGGTCATGATAGCCTGCAGGTAGAGCATAGTTCCGTAACCCATGGCGTGGTAGATGCTGGAGTCCCGCCTGTGGTACACAACGACTGAGGTAGGAACGCGGCAAGTCGGCTTGCCAATCGTCAGCGCTCAGCGCCTTGGCGCAAACAACAGTCCTAGCATACGGGACAGACACCTTATCTGCGCAGGATAAAAAGGGGGATGTCTTTATACAATGTCTTTTATGTCTTTTACACAATGTCTTTTATGTCTTATATACAATGACGCTCCTCCAAACAGGGGGAGCGTCATTGTATAAAAGACATAAAAGCTAACGCAAACCGATCCACACTACCTCCATGCAATTTGAGTTGTTTCTGAAAGATATGTTTCGAATGGTTTGCATGGGTGCTTGGGGTTTACAGCACTCGTCCAGCAAAACATACCGTGTGTGTCGCTGTACAAGCAGACCGCCATCATAGATAAGCCGAACAATTCCTCCGATAATTTCGCCCCAATCTCATTGCCAGACGGGACTGCGGAGTAGTATACGCGTCGTTGCCTGAGAACACGGCCTTCCCAGGCCAGACTGACCCTTTTAGCCAGGTTTCAACCGGCCCTCCTCCCTACCAGTCGAGCCAAGCGGTGCTCCGCTCTGGAATTCGCACCAAGTGCCGCTGGGCGACATCGTTAAACTGAAGAAAGAGCGGGGTAACGCACCGACACACGTTTGCACCAATGTCTGCGCCAATGTTTGCCGCCGGTGGCGCACGCTCCAGCAAAAACTCAAGCCGCGCAGTTTTTGTTTGTGTTTGTGTTTTTGTTTGTGCCTTGCGTCAGATCCCAGCGACCCGTACAGATATAGGCTCGAAAGCCGCCGCGTGGTGAAGGCCAATGTACTAACCATAGGCCTAATAGCCAGTTTAGCTCGGTGCGAACTAAAGGAGTGCAAGCCATCGGCCGGGAAGTGCGTAATGTCGCCTTTTTACTACTTGTTTTTAAATACAACATGCCAGAGCTTGAGCTAAGTGAGATAGAGCCATGCACAACATGAACGTGCCCAATGTACTGTGACCAAAATCCATCCAACAAACTTCGTGTAATCAACGATTATTGTGGTGGCCGAAATCATCACGAACGTGAGATGATTTTAGAAGGCAAATTTAGGCAAACCAAAATACAGCTCGCCAACCGTTCTTCGCTAAGCCTCTGACAAATTCACTCCGAATTAATGAATTGACGCGCTCCGGCTGGTGACTACAGTCATAGCATTTCATGGCGAACAGTGGGAGCACCAGGACGTCGGTCTTCTGGTGATCGTTTCATGACTAAAACACGGCATTTACCGCACCAAAACACATATTTGCTCTCTTCCGAACACAACATAAGCAGATTGATGATGATGATCTGGGCTTGGGGGTGTTCAGACTATAATGGTCATATAGGGCCCACATGTGCAGGTTAGGAAACACCCAGCCTGATGGTTGTGTGCCATCCATCACACAACACTGAACATCGGTCCAGTGTTGTGTGATGAATGGCACACGACACTGAGGCGGTGTTTGCAGTCATGCGGAGCCTCATGGCACCCTTCATTCACTACATGACAACACGTCCAAGCAAGGCTATAAACCCTGGGCGTGGGCAGGTGGAAGAATGCATGAGTGGCGGGGCCGGGGGAGGGTGCTGGCGCTGAGGGGGTGTGCGGAGGCAGACGCCGAGGGAGGGTGCGGGCAGGGGGCGGAGGGGAGGGGGCGGGGGCGGAGCTGGTCGTCCGGTCTGGACTGAGGGTCGGTCGATACGGCGGGGAAGCCGTACCGGGCCCGGCAGGCGGACAACGGCGGCCGGGGTCGCGCCCGACTGCGCCGTCACCCGAGCGTTACCCAGAGCCCCGCCACTGACCAGGGCCGCATCAGGTCACGCGCCTCGTCAAACTGGTTGTTGAAGAAGTAGCGGACGGCGACGCGGCATTCGTCCAACGCCCGCTCCAGCGTCATGGCCCCGTGGTGCTCGGGCAGCCTGCGGCGCGCCGGCCGGGTCAGCGGGCTCAGGACCGGCCGGGTCAACGGGGCTCAGGACCGGCCAGGTCAGCAGGGCTCAGAATCGGCCGAGCGGTGGCCCCGCAGCGGTGGAGCGGACATCAGGCTATCGTTCTGGCGGCGTATGCTCGCGATGAAATGCTACACACGATAAAGGAACGGTTCGATTCCGGGGCAGCGCTATCTTGCAGCGGCACTGATAAAGCTGGCTACAGTCAGCCTCCAAAAAAACACCGCAGGGCGAAGTTTGAAAGCAACTACCAAAATGACCAACGTGAAAAGGGATAACCACGACGCAAACCAGGTTGGTCGGCACAGACAGCACAGTGTGAACCAGCCTGGTCAACACAGAGCAGAGTGTGAACCAACGTGGCCAGCACAGACAGCACAGTGCGAACCCGCTTGGCCAGCCCAGAGCGTAATGCGAACCTGCTTGGTAAGCACGGACAGCAGACAGCACGGTGCGAACCAGCTTGGTCAGCGCGAGCAGCTCAGTGCAAGCCAGCAGAATGTAATCCAGAGGCGTACATACATCAAGAAGTGCCACTTCAATTGTGTCCTACCACAAGAAACATGTTCTTTAGTCCCCAAAAATGCATCGTGATTAAACGGTTACAGTTTGTAAACTGCACATCCGCCACATCGAGGTCGACTGGAGTGATTACAACGGCAAGGTAAGCCCGCGAAGCGTCGAAGTGAAGCTGCTGCACTTCACTGAATAAGCACATGTGAGATAATCCACGGCATTCTCACGGATGACACGCCTACTTACTTGATCGTGGCTTGTTCTTCCACGGCATCCTGAAACTAAAGAGAACAGAGCAGCGTCAGCTCGATACGCCGCACTTTTACCGGTCTTCTCCCGCAAAAATGAACATCACACTTAGCGAAACAGCTGATTCACGTGAATAGCTGTATGCATGTTATTTCACGAAGCGCCTACGACGAGGTAGCGAAACTATATACTGATCCACCCACTATGCGAAGGATCTATTTTGCTGTCACGGAGGCCAGTCCGACTAGTGATTCCTTCTATAATCCCGGAATGATCACAGCACACACACGATCATTTGTACGCACAGTGTTGGCGGTGCCTACTGCAATGCCATCTCATAAGGCTACAGCACGGCACGGCTCATTGCTGGTCCACCTGCTCATGCGTGACCATTCCGAAGGCCATTAGGCCTCCGACTAATTCCACTGACATCTCGAACCTCCCCACATAGTTACACACACTGAGCCTAGGCTAAGTCTTCTTTAGTTAATAGCGCCACACGGGGCGGGCTTCGGGTCACAGGTTCCTAATGCCGGACCGTGTTATTAAACAAAAACGCATAAAGACGAAAGGCAAGCCAGCCAGAGGTCAGGGGTGAAGTGTTTGACCACGGCGATTACAGCAAAATATGTTATGACTAGTGATCTGTACCTCATCATCCTCTGCGCCGTTGGATGCCATTTTCTACAATCAGTAACGTTCTTGGCGAATCTGAGGGCGGAGAGACATTGACAACAGTGAGCACCGAGTGGAACACGGTCAAAAAGGACGGAAAGCGGCAACATGAGCCGAAAAGATCGTCAGCAGCGACAAGATCGGTTTACAGATGGGACCAAAATTGCCGACATCAGGGTTTACTATCGTGATTTCGAAGCGGTACTGCTGTTGTTTTCTGCCTGCTGTCCGTTGGCGTCCGCTTTCCGCCCACACAATGGGTTGGTGTCCAGATGCAATGGGCATTTACTTAATATGTGAACTTCGGCCCAGAACAACTCTTCAAATCGATGGGCGAGGAACGGATGCATTCGGCAATCAATTAATGGCCGAAGAATGCATTAATCAACACCTGGAACAACAATCTCCTGAAGTGAACGACGACCTTCTCGCATCCATATGCTGTCAGTAGGCTGGATAATCTGAGAAATCCCTTATTTAGTCGGATACTCTCAATTTTACCTAACCGGGCATCTACTAAAGGTAAGGATATGAAGATTTAAATCCTGCGAATTCCCACCCTCTGAAGACGAGGATTCGAAACCTGCAAACCAGCCTAAAAACCGCAGTGGAATCTTGGCAGCCATCACTGGAGTATGGATGCCGATACATCGAAATATGTTGTAGGTTCCATCCTTCTTGCAAAAAACAAGTGTGAACAAAAAAGCAACAACCAAAAACAACAAAAACAAAACAAACAGGCATATGCGGGTGCTGCACCGCAATAACTCGTCCATCCTGTGTTCAATTACGCTGCATCAGCTATTATCCGACCCAGCCGATGTCGTTACTGGCCATACTCTGTCACCAAGTCTCGCCGGTTTGCTGTGGTGACAGCCGCAAAAACAGCGTTTGTGGCGACAAAAAAAAACAACGAAAAAAAAACAGGAAGGAACGGCTCCACAGAGCATTGCCAGGCAGGATGAACAGACAGAAATACAGAGGGCCTCTCACAGACAAATCTCCATCCAACAAAGGGGTGGGCGGCCTCCTCGACTTTAGGGGCGTCCTGGAACCAAGCGGCCTACCATCCGAGAAAGTGTTAACATAATTACTTAGCCTGATACTGAATTTTTAGGATAGCAATCATCTCTCTGTAAATATAAGGCACCCAGGGGCAGCTACCTCAAACGCAGAATTGGAGGATGTACCCCAACCCAAAAAAGTTTTGTGAGCCTTGTCGCAGTTTGGGAACCAGTATCCACCATCTGCTAATTCCCCTTAGAGTCTTTACCTCGCTGTTTTTGAGAAAACCTACGCATTTTACTGTCCTTTTTACACCACATAGGAGTCTACAAGATGACTTAGTCACAGTGTTAGAACATGTGCCTACCTTTTTTGTCATGTGCCCTCTGTATCTTATCATGTACCTTATCCCTTCATGTACCTATACCCTTCATGTACCTTATCTTTCAAAAAAGTCAAAGTAGAAGCCAAATCTAGCATGCAGCATTGTTTTGAGACACCAAAACCATTTTTAAAACCTCTAAAATTGCACTGAATCATAACATATCACCAGCTTTTCAGAATGATTGAAAACACATCAGCAATGCAAATGACACATTTTTCCAGCTACCGTCCTCGCCCTGTATTGGTACATGCACAGCATTTTGGACTTGGCTCCCCATCATGACGAGATGTTAATTGGTCCTGAGAATGGCCAGCTGGCTTGGGCTTTCAGGTACATCAGCATAGGCGAAGGAGCGTTTAAAAAAGTGGGGGCGGGGAGGGAAGGTGCAAGTAGGCCACACTGTAAAGTTACATGGTAGTGTTTTCTTGACAACATCACCAGCAACAGAAGTCAATGAATAAATGTGGTCACAGAGGCATCCAACCCTTGATCATGAGGACATGCTACCAATCATGTCTTTTCACAAGGAGTCATAAAGCTTGGAAAGCACACTTAACATCTAGAAAACACAGTAACTAGCAACATAAGCATGGTGGACTGGATAAGAGCACAAGAGTCAGCAGATCAGGTACAGGCCTGACTACTACTTCACTCCAGAAAAGAAACAAATCATCAATGCCATGGGTATCATATGTTCCAAGGCCATCCATATATGATTTCAAAGGGAGTGCTCCACATTTGTATGACATTTTGAACTGAAACAGCCATCTTGAAGATCATTTGATACAACTCACAGCCCTGAGCCCTGCCCTTCTTAAGACCTAAACAGCTGTACTTTCTGAGCTACACACCTGCAGAGATGTGCAGACTACTTCCTGCAGACTATCCCAAGGTTACTATAGCATACATGAGACCATAATGATGTCATTCAAATTCTGCCATTCTCTTGGCCATGCAGTGATCAAGACCAACAAAAGAATGATGGTCAAGCTTTTTACATCTCATGTTCATGAGTATAATGCCTGATATAATGCCTGTCAATTGGCTCTCAGTTTATGCTGTGCAAGGCATTACACAAGAATCAAACAATAACATCCAGGAGCATACCTACTAAATAAAGAAACTGGGTTGCCTAGAGCAGGCTGTCCACTTCAAAGTGTGCCAGTAATTATAAGTGAGCTTATTTTGTCCCATCTAATGCTTACTTGAATATCTTCAAGTGTGGAACATTCTCTTAAAGCACAGAGGGGACAGGAAAGTCTTGAAACAGCATTACCAAAGAATCTCAACTGTCCAGAGTTAAAGACAGTCTAACAGTACCTCAACACATGATTGTAAATCATGCTATAGTCTATAACTACAACTCAGACCTTACAACTGAAGCCCACTGGCTTAGCCTTACACATCTAGCTCAAATTAGGAGTTGATCAAATATTACCTTTTCCTTTTCATAACATGACTGTGACAAAACAAGTGGGAGGGGGGGGGGGGGGCGGGTGCTATTTACCTCCAGTATAGCACTGGGCCCAGCCCACCAGGCACAACAGCTCCTGCACAACTGTCCAATAGCATTGTTACTACGATCCACGATTCCTAATCCCAGGACGTCTTAAGGCTCAATTCAGCTGTTGACTTATGATAACAGGAGATAAAAAGGGCGTCGCCCTTTTAAAAAGACTGAATTAACTGTGGTCCGCACGCAAACCATACATTTGCGTCGGTGGATGCCCTGCACATATAAACAAGCCTCCAACACTTCAATAACTTCTCTGTGAAATACATAACACTGCATGCCCTTTCTGTAGCCACTTACCCTCTACCAGATCAGCTGGGTCGGTTGCATCCCACCCAACCTCCCCCCACCTTCAAACCCCTTACCGCGACCGCTACGGCCAAGGCCGCTGCAACCCGACTACCATCTCAAGGCGCTGTCGCTGCTGATCCATCAATAAAGGTTCCAAGCTTTTCACCTGATGAACATTGACGTCATAAAACCACAAAATGACTGTCAGTCTGATGATAACGCCTTAAATCAAACAGCTGTCAAAACAAAAACGCAAGTAGCCATGAGTACCTAGTGCGAAAGGTGGTTGAAAGGCGTGGAAAAAGTTGATTTTATGTTTGTTAAGTGCTATCAATATCCAGTACCAGATCAACACCACACCACACAAATGCAAATAAAAGAGCAAACTGCATGTTCCAACCGTGAAACGTTAAGAGGCCAAGACGGTTCTAATTTCAATGTTAAAAGCTGCATAAGGCCTGACCAGCGTTAATGATGATGATGATGATTTGGGGTCCTAGGGCGCATCGACTTTGACCTGCGTTTCTGAGGCGTGAGAGGAATATAACTAAGGTTGTCAGTGTTGGTGTTTTTTGCGACGCCCACATACAATCAGTTGAAAGAGCGTGCGATCCTTGTCGGATGTCGAGTGCGAGAGAAAGCCTTATTGTCTGAAGCGCAGCCGGAGGGGACCTGCCCCGCCTTAATCCCGTATTTTGTTTGTGTCATCGGAAGCTCCTGGCAAACGCTTACAAATCGTTATTACGATAACGATTATGATAACGATAACGCACCGAGGTCTAGCCCCTCTCTCCCTCGAAGGGAATGTTCCATATTTGTACGGGGTTTTGAACTGAGAAAGCCATTTTGAGATCATTCGGTGCAGTTCACAGCCTTGTCCTTCGTAAGACTAAGAACCTGTCTGGTCTCTGAGCTAGACACCCGCAAAGTTCTGCAAGGTGTTTTGTACGGACTACTTAAAGGTCACCCAGTCATGCACGACGCAAAAGGTCACCTAAATATTGGCATCCCATTGGTCGTGTGGTGTTCAAGGTCAAGACACAGGGCGTATTCGGCCGAGGGAAAATTATTTAACGAATGATTATCTATTGGATAATTATTCACGAATATCCCCAATTCACCTTTGGCCGGTCCGGAAATTATCCCCCAATTTCGTCTCACATGCGCCGTGCACAGTCAATCATGGCTTGATATCCTGTGAAGGTCGGAGGGGGGGGGGGGCGGGGGGGGGGGGGGTCCGGATCGCCGGGCCCCGGGAAACCAGAAATTACGGTCCGGGAACAGAAGGGTCCCGGGAGTCCTATCCGGCTCGCGCAGCTCGAAGGAAAATGACCGTTCCGAATAAAAAATGCGAAAAGCATTTCTTTGGCAGAATAAAGGCTCAGAGCGTAAAAATCGTTCCCTTTAGATGCTCAGCAGACCCTAGCCTTGCAGTGGGCTCTTCTGGCCAACAGGGGCATACTGCCTTTATAGCTATTTAGGGCCCTCCGGCCTTTCTAAGCCTCTTCGGAACACCCAGGAAACTTCAGGACCACCCAATGGATCCTAAACGTATCAGGAGTTGCATTGTCTGCTCGGAGCCCTGTGTGCCAAGGGACCCTTGGGCCGCTTATCGGCCGTTATAGATTAACAGGGCCTCGCGGGTCACTGAGAAGCCAGTTGAGTCATTGAGGTCCTCTGGCTGGTGAAGTTCTCCTCTAAAGCTCTGGGAGATAGGAACGAAGCATCGAATGTTAGAAGGCATCTTGCGTTGGTCAGAGCACTCTGATAACGAACGGAGATATGAAAGGGGTCACAGCGAGACGATTAAAGGACCCCGCGTCAGTCATACGCTCCAGCACGGGCCAGGGGCCTCCCGCCCATATTCATCCAGGGTCCGAATGCTTCTAACTGGGGTCTCTATACCATTCATTGAACCCGCTACACCAGGGATCTATATGAAGCTAAAGGACCTTTTTACGTCGTTCAAGGGCCCTTGCGTTGATCCAGGGCCAACCGTCCTGGTAAAAGGGCCTTCGGCGTCACGGAAGGGCCCAATATATCATGTATCCCTTTGAAGGCCTCCGGATCGGTCACGGGCACCGGCCCGCGTGTCGCCAAAGTGGTAGCCGGTGAGCAACACGAAAAGGGACGGAAGGCACTTCAGCCCCCATGCGAGAAATGCATTAGCTCCCCTAGCCTTGTCTGAAGACTATTATGCTATATAAGTTCGGTGATACACAGTGAGCGCGTCGTCCCCTGCCCAAGTGCCTCTCAGGACAGACGATCGACGACCCATTTGGGGTGCCGAATGGCCTGAAGGGCTCTCCGTAGCTCGAATTAGGGATTCTGGCCCTGCAGCAGGGGCCCGAACTGCGACATGAGTGCCGAAAAGGGGTCCTTTGTTTGCAATTGGCCCGAGTCCACCGAATCCGCCGAGTCCGCAATGTTCGAGGGAACCCGACGAGCCGTCCAAAGGGCCTTCTTAGACCCTAGCCAGTTTCCGTCAAACCGAGCGGAACTGGCCGCCACAGCTCACGTCAGACGGCCGAGGCAGGACGCGCAAGACTGGCAGACAGTCGTGAAATAAGGCTTTTGAAAGTATTTTTCAATTAATCCTCACTGTGTAAGGATTATGCTGAGCGGCACAATTCACATGTATAATGTTTAGCTTGTCCTGTGCACGGTTTAACAGTTATAGCAACACGTAAAGTGCAGATTTTGCCTTTGCTTTTTCAGTTCCACTACCAGATTTCAACGCCAGTTCGCGGTACTGTAAGCATTAATCCGTTCCTACCATCAATCTAAAGATGTCATAGGTCGAACAGAACCCTCAATAAACATTTAAACGCTGTTATTGGTGTTCTAAAACGTTCGAAGGTACCGTTTTCTTCAAAACACCGTCGTTTTCGTCCACCCAGTGGCCGCCAACCGACGACAAGCAGCCTCCAGAGACTGCAACGCCGGGTGTCGGGCTCTTGTTTCTAATGCTTGGGAGCGCGCATGCTTTTAACTTTTTGCGTAACCATTTTTTGTTCAGTTCTAGTCGCAGGCTACAAATTTCAAGAGGAATGTGACTTGGGTACGTTGCTACACAATTTCGACCCAATTTCGATCTACAAGTTGCGTTTCCGCCAAAGCCCCTGAAAGCTATCGATAGAGCGAATTCACTGGACCATTGTAAATTGAATAGTGCCAGCACTTTGCTGCACTCAGTCATTTAAAGTCTAGTTCCTCCAGTGCACTAACTTCAAAATACAAAATGGAATCGCATCTTCCGATGACTTCTGGCTTGTTTACGCAAACAAGTAAAAATAAAAATTAAACGATGAAAATCGTGCCTCCTCGAATTCACATGGGCCATACCCGATGAATTTTGTTTATGGGGAAGGGGGCTTTCACCATCAGGGACGCTTTTCAACCCTGTACCTCTTCTAACCAAGACTCTGGCTGCGCCCCTGGGGACCTCTTTGTACCCAAGGACGCTCATGCGCCGTGTTGGCTGTGCAGGCCACTCCTGCCCACAGAGGACCCCTCTGGCCGGCGGCGTTTCCGATGACTGCCCAGGGGCTTTACTGATGGCCCGGTGCTTCCCTGGGCGCCACTGAATACCTCTAATTGCTCAGGGTCCTTTCTGGCCATCTGAGTGCTCACCTGGCCCGTTCACCGGCTCGTTTATTCGCCAGAGTCATTAAGCTTTACACTCACGACTCTCTAGATACTTGTTGTGCAGGATCTTGTAAACATTGTGCAGAGTCTTGTTAGCTGTTCAGGGCACTGTTTGCCTCTCCAGAGAGAGCCTCCACGAGAAGCCAGAACAGAAGGACTCCTATGAGTCCCTCTGGCTCCTCGTGGGACCTTCTGGTTGATCGTGAGCCTCCCGGGCCGTTCAGGACCCTCTGGACGCCCAGTGGTTGAAATAAAGGTCCAAGGCTCTCTATTAGTGCCCCTCCTGTCGCTCAGGAACCTATCTAGCAGTGGTGGGCCATTCTGTCCACCAAGGAATCATCCGGCAGCTGATATGCCTCTGTGGCTGCTCAGCCTCAGGAGCCCACGAGATGCTCGGGTCATGGCTGGAATTATGGTAGAGGCGCCCAAGCCCGGGAAATCCTCATGAGGCTTGTATTTTGAGCGTGGGGTTCCAAAGAGTACAAGGCGACGTCCGAGGGAACTCCAAAACGAGGGTCCGGTGGGTCCGGGCTACCCCATAGGAGGGCGTAAAAACGAAGGTTGTTACCAAAATATAACTTAAGTCAATACCATAGTCTCGCTCCTCTGCTGCAATGCACGGCAACGGCAAGACTGAAGCCCTTGATCGACCTGGAGAATCCAGGTACCGTCACGCAAACTCTAGACGTGCTTCAAGCTCGTTAGGAATGCTCATGATACCCATCAACTATTCAACTCCAGTCTAAATAATGTGGACGGAATTTTGCCGTTCGAAGCGGTGCTGCTGCTGAAGAAAATTTTTAACCAAATTGTTGCGCACTTTAGGCGCGGAAAGATACTGGCGATATACTCTGGGTCCCGTCGGAAAGGTTTATGATACCCCTAGGGACCCAATTACAGTCTGGAGTAGTTTGGCGCTCAGGGAGGCGCAAAAGGTGCTCAACTTGCTTGTTCTTTATAAACTGGCAGCAAAACGGAAATATATCCCAGTTGCATTTTAGGCGTAGTAACATCGATGAAAAAGGAGGGTAACATCGATAAAATTTGGGAACAGTCTCAGGCTATCACTAGACCGCGACAGACGCTGGAATAACACAAAAATGCGCGTCCTCGGCACGTGAAAATGCGCAACGGAAGACGAGTTTGGCTCTGGATGAAAATAACAATAGAATGGGATTGGACAGACGTTTATTCGCTCATGGTAAATCGGTTTAAGCACACATCAGGTAATCGTTCCAATGACGGCAACTGCTTAACCTTAATCCAAAATTCCATGCACCTTCGGAGAGTCAAAAAGGGTTATAGGCTTCCAACTGCCACCGGGTATGCGTGCTTACTTTTCAAAAAAAGCTTCAGTCCTGTTTTAAAAAATCAATATCAGTGCGCCTCCTAAAAAATTGGCCTCAAACCGATGTGTTCTAAAATTGGCGGTCTTTTGTCGTCAACTGGG